CCTATATATATATATATATATATATATATGAGAGAGAGAGGGTCAGCACTTTGTTCCAGACAGGGATCTATTGCTTTCGCAGTGTTACTACTGCATGTGCTGAAAAGATACTGGTCAAGAGGAAGGCTAGCTCCTGTGTGACAAAATGCTAGAAAACTCCTGTGTTGCACATTTACAGGCGTTCCCATTGAAGTCTATGGGGCCCAAAATGCAGACATCTGTAGAAAAGTAGCTCATGTATTTTTTCCAGTGACAGGATGCTCATATGTGAACAGGTGTCTTTGAAAACCATGCAAATCCTGTTTTGAGCTATGTAGTGCTTAGCCCTTTCATGCATTGCTTAGATACGGCGAGCTGTGGAGGGAGAGCCATTTAGCAGTGTTGTCTGGGAGGGTTGCCCGGATCACAAGAATGGCTGAATAGAACCATTTCACATTTAATTTTAACTGTTCATTTAGCCGTTAGCATAGCACATCTAAATCTGACGTTCAGTGTACCACAAAACATGACTGTCCAGGAGCCAAGTGTTGTATCATTCTGGAGTTGGTTGTTCCTCTCTAAGGGCTTGTGCACAACATATGTGGTGACTTATGGTTTTCTGCACCTGATCTTTGCCAGTCACTGCGAGTGCACATAGAAAACACTTGTTTTCTATTAGCTCCATTCACACCACAACAGAGTGGAGAGCGGTGGAAAGATGCAGCATGACTGCATTTTCTTGCAACGTACTGGAGCTCACCTGAATTCTATCTGCCTCTGCGCCAAGGTTCCCTCCACTGGCATACATGTAGGGCTGCAGCTAACGATTATTTTCATAATCGATTAGTTGGCCGATTATTAAGTTCGATTAATCGATTAATCGGATAAAAAAAAGGCTCCAGTGATGGACTACTAGTTTGTGGTGAGATTGTAGTCCATCACGGGAGCAAGCTTGGCGCGGTAGAAGTAAAAAAAAAGTGTGGTGTGCAATATAGTACATAATACAGCGGCGCATTGCAGAATACCAGCAGCTATAGAGGAATGTAGCAATACTACATTATACTACATATGTACTATTGCTGGGATTTGTAGTCCTCTGTAGCTGGCGTTACTGGAGAATGGAGAATACCACCAGGTATAGGAGGAACAACAAGTCCCAGCAATAGTACATTATACAGGGTGTTTAATGTATTATTGCTGGGATTTGTTGTTCCTCTATAGCTGCTGGTGTTCTAGTGTGCCGCTTTTTTTTTTTTTTAAACAGGAAATATTAAAACAGGTCTCCCTTACCTGTTTCTGAACCCTTGTAAGTCACCGCGGCGTCGGCGTGCTGTGCGAGCGTGTGTCTCAGGCCGCGTGTGGAGCCCCGAACAGGGAAATCAATCGATAGTCGACGAATCGACGATCGAAAACGTTGGTAACGTTTTCAATCGTCGATTTTAATCGTCTAAATCGATTAACTGTTGCAGCTCTACATACATGTATACCAGCTCAAAAGCTAAAATGGATCACTTTTGTGTACAAACTGGTGTAAACGAGCCTTTAGAATGAGTTAATTCATCAAGTCTGATGGCAAAGTTTAAAACCTCATTTTAGAGAAGACCTGATATTTCCATAACCACTTCTCTGGCAGTGGGAAGAGGGAGGCAATTTTTTCAGTTTTCTTATGTTGCAGCCCGATACAGTTGTTTCAATTGTTTTTCTTCTCTTTAATCTACACTCCGTACCCCATAATGACAAAGTGAAAACAGAATTTTAGAAATGTCTGTGAATTTATTAAAAAGAGAACACTGAAATATCACATGTACTCAAGGATGCAGACCCATCACTCAGCACTTCGTTGAAGCACCTATGGCGGCAATTACAGCCGCGAGTCTTTTTGGGTATGGCACAACATGCTTTGCACACCTGGATTGGGGGGACTTTCTGCCATTCTTTGCAAATCCTCTCAAGCTCAGTCAGGTGGGATGGAGACCATCGGTGGACAGCCATTTTCAGGTCTCTCCAGAAATGTTCAATAGGGTTCAAGTCAAGGTTCTAGCTGTGCCACTCTAAGACATTTACAGAGTTGTCCCTAAGCCACTCCTGTGTTGTCTTGGCTGTGTGTTTAGGATCGTCAAGTTGGAAGATGAACCTTCGGTCCAGTCTGAAGTCCTGAGCGCCATGCAACAGGTTTTCATTGAGGATATCTCTGTACATTGCTCAATTCAGCTTTCCCTCAACCCTGACTAATCTCCCAGCACTTGCTGCTGAAAAACACCCCCACAGCATGATGCTGCCACCACCATGCTTCACTGTTGGGATGGTATTGGGCAGGTGATGAACATTGACTGGTTTCCTCCAAACATAACGTTTAGAATTGAGGCCAAACAATTCAATCTTGGTTTCATCAGACCAGATAATCTTGTTCCTCACAATCAGAGTCCTTCATGTGCTTTTTTGCAAACTCCAAGCGGGCTTTCATGTGAGGAGAGGCTTCTGTCTAGACACTCTGCCATAAAGGCCAGATCGGTGGAGGGGCTGCAGTGATGGTTGTCCTTCTGCACAATCAATTTAATTTACCACAGGTGGACTCCAATCAAGGTGTAGAAACATCTCAGTAATGACCAAGCGAAATGGGAGGCACCTGAGCTAAATTTCAAGTGCTGTTGCAAAGGGTCTGAATATTTATGCCAATGTGATATATTTCAGTTTTTTCCTTTTTCATACACTTGCAAACATTTCTAAAATTCTGATTTCTGTCTCTATACATACAGAAGTGTGTGTGTGTGTTGCACTTTTTTTTTCTTATAAATGTTTAAACTACTAATTTACTTTGTATCATTGAAACGTTGCTTTGAATTAACAATTAGTTTAAAAGAAAAGGATGCTGAAAGCCACTATCCTCTTTACTTTAAGAGGGATTACGCAATTCTGCTTCCCTATGGTCATAAGTTTTGTTAATTCCAACTCCAAATAATTTTTTGTTTTCACGCTGAAAACTTACATGCATATTTGTTAGTAGTTGCATCTGCCAAGCATTTTTTGAGTTTAGAAGAACACAATGCATAATTCATCCCCCCCCCCCCCCCCTCCCACCACCTCTTGTTTCTGTTTTTGAATCGTCCCCCTCCCCCCCCCCCCTTACATTCTTTTTGATGTAGCATGGGATTCCAGTCCTATGTTCTAATGCAAGTGTATTGTCACAACTCTAATATGCACACTGCAATGTTTCTATTTGGCTTCCTGGAAGAAAGTTAAGTGTTGTCTATTTTTGGCGTATGGGCTGCATTCCACAGCCTTGGCACTACAGCTCTCATTTGATGTTAAAACCCCACGCTCTGTTGCTGAAAATTCAGAACTACTTGAGGGTTTTTCTTTGGGACAATGCCAGAAACCTGCCAAAGCCTTGTTGAATTAATTTCTTTGTCCTCTGGTACATTTGTAGTTGTAGTTTTGTTGTCATTGCTCCAAATGAGTTCAAAATCTATTGTAAAATAGCAATTTGCCACATGTAGCCAACAGGGTGTCAAACTTTATTTTACTGTTAATGTATACATTGGAATGAATGATGGTCTGTCAGTACATACAGATGCTGCAGTATGTAATTGTTGTGTGTGTATAACTGCAATATTTCAAATTACCCATAATGATTTATATATCAATTTTGTCTTAGCTGCCTGGTTGAAGGGGATGTCAAAGAAGAAATTCTGCAGCCACCAGAGCCTCATCCTGTTCCTCCAATTCTGACTCCCTCACCTCCATCAGCATATCCTACTGTGACAACAGTGTGGCAGGACTTTGATCGCTATCATCCAAAACCAGTTGTGCATATGGCATCCTCAGAGAATAGGACAGACATGAATGAGAACTATAGCAAATCTGGAGTTGTCTCTGGAAAGAATGAGCCCATTGTTGAGAAGAAGTTAGAGCGAAAACTAAGTATTGAAATAAAAAAAGTACCTCTCCAAGAAAGTCCAAAAAGTTTTGAAGCTAGCGCAGGCTTGCATAGAGGACTTGGCATTAAAATGAAATCTGCTTCATCCTATGCAGTTGACCAGCTAGCTAAACCTCCAATGTCAACTTCTCTAGAGTCTCTCTCTGGTATGACTTTAAACCCATGCATAGACTGTAGGAGTTTGAAATCCGCTAAAACTTTAGAAGATGCACCTCATCAGAGAAGTTGCAACCCTCCATCAAGACCAGACCATCTCCCTCTAGAGAGAGAACTTTCTGTTTCCACCAATTCGAGCAATGAGCAAACGAAGTGTAAAAATGTGTCTTCCTCTGCTGATAAACATTTAGATACGTATTCCTTTGATAGTAAAACTGTATTAAATAGCAGTGTTCTTACATCACAGATAAGTCTAAGCGATCCCAGCAATGTACCAACACTTCAAGCACCGTTATCCTTTACCAATCCTCTTCACTCTGATGATTCTGATATAGAGGAAAATAACGCTTATGGATCCATGACAAAAAGCTTGTCTAATATATCAACCGCAAGTGCCATTGTTTCTGCAGTCTCTGCAACAGAAAGTTCCACTAGAAAAGTATTGCCGATGTCTATTGCCAGGCACGATACACCTGGGATAAAGAACTTAGGTGCTGAAAAAGGTAGGTTTTTTTTTTTAACCTTTTTTTCTTTTCAGACAATTTTGAGACGCATTATTTTTATTGTTTGTTTGCACAACTCACATCTTCAACCCCTTCGTGACTGACGACGTACAGTGTATGTCGCCAGCATTGGGGCTGTTTAAACTTGTAAAGCCGACTTTCAAGGGCACCAAACACGCCTCCTGCCCGCAGTGTGATTGCGGCACTGGAACGCACGGCACCGCAATGACTTGTTCCAGTGCGGTGCAATTGCTAAAAATTGTGCATGCAGTTTTTTTCAGAAGTAAACTTTGTAACACTGCATTTGTGTAATTTTTTTTTAATCTGATTAATCGAAAAAATAATTGGCCAACGAATCTATTATGAAAATAATCATTAGTTGCAGCCGTAGTATGAAGATTAATGAAGGAATACATTAACTAGAGGGATTTCAGATACAGATGCTGGAGCCAACAAGGTTGTAGATTATACTCTGGCTTGCCCTTTTATCCACCATCCAAAGTGAAAAGTGTAGTTTTGGGGGGGTGCATTAGCAGGGGCACTGGTGCTCACCTGTGTTGGAGTGCAGGGGAGACATCTGGGGTCTAGTAGACCCCAGATGTCTCCATAAGGAGAACCTGTCACCTCCATACACTATTGCATTGGAGCTTGTTAACTGTATTGCTATTACACAGGAGCTAAGTGGAAAAAATGTTAAAAAAAAAAGTCCTGTATATGTAAAAGGCTATTGTGCCACACGTTTGGTATCACCACAGATGCAGAATTTATTTTGCAAATATTTGTATCACACGGCTGTAGATCCTGAAATCATCTGTGACTTGGTGCTGACACTGTCCTTCCTTCTGGAGGGGGCTACTTTTGTTCCCCATGGTCCATGCGTGTGTTATGAAGTAGCCACCACTCCAAGCTCACTCCTGTGATGGACTACAATCTCAATACAAATTGGTAAACTAAATGTGAGATTGTAGACCATCCTTGGAGCGGTGGCTACTTTACAACACACACAGAGACCATGGGGAAGAGACACAAAAGTAGCCACCCTCCAGAAGGAAGGACAGTGTCAGCACCAATTCAGAGATGATTTGAGGATCTACAGCCAAGTGATTCATAAATAAGATACGTTTTTGTTAATAGAAAAGTGGACTGGTACTTTAAACTCTTTTCCTCTGTAATATTACTCCAGTGGTAGTAGATTGGCGTCATGTGTTGTCAGAATAGTATTTTAATCCAGCAGCAAAGAACTTGGCTGCCTGCTTCTTCACCTATCCTACCATCATGTTTTGTGCATTTTTCCCAGGGGTTGCATTAGACTGGGCGTTTTAGGACCCATTCAATGCATATTTAAAAAAAGTATTGCATTGCAGGGAGGTTATAATAGTTTGCATTTTCAGTCTATGTGCTATTGCAAGAGCAAACATGGGGTGCAGCTTCATTCATTTAAATACTGTAATAATGCAGCAAGCAGTTAAGTTTTAGAATGCACCAAACTAAAATATTAGTGAAATACATTATACATGAGGTTTAAAATGTTTCTAAAGTGCGCGGTGTAAAGGAGCCTCACAGAACAATAAAAACCAAATAGATCAAACGGAAAGGGGGTTCTCTAAATGGTTTTAAATGAAGGCTTTTAAGAACGATATGAAAGCCCATAGCCATACATTGCTTCCCCCCCCCCCTTTTTAACTATAGTATGTAAAATAAACAGCTATGTATTTTATGTAACATGGTATACATTCTTATTAGGGATACACCAATATTTATCTTTCGGTACTCGCCAATACAGAATACCGATGCCAGTACTTCTGCTAGCATGGAGACAGCATTCCGGCCAATCAGGATGGGGCCCTTTGACAGTTTGATTCACGTTGTAGTTGTCTAATAAAGGTTTTTCCCTCGGCACTATTACTTTTTTTTAATAACATTGATAAACACAATAGGTTAATATGACCGCGTGGTTGTAAAGACCTGCTTTAAATCTGAACTCTGGGAAAAGCAAATATTGTCTAGATACAAGAAGCATGTATATTCATACTAGAATCTTGTTGTGTTTTGTACATTGCTTCCTGATCTGTGCAGTAATCCAGCATGAAACGGTCTTTGTGTAACAGTTTCCTGTAATTAAGACTAGTCACTGTTGTGGTTTCTCCTTGTGCAGGGTGACTGGCCATACTATACTTCTCACTATTGTAGTTCTGTGTGGGTGGGGCTTTCTGGGTCCCTCCCACACCCTTTCTGCACATACTCTGTGTAGAACATTGATTATGTCACTGCTCCTTTACAATATATTATCTGTTTTTGCAAACATATTTGGTGCTCCCAAAGTGGGGCTATGCTTGGAGTTGAGCTTCAGTGCTGAAAGCCAAGGAGCTCAAGTCCATAATGGGGAAAATATTGCCAAGGCCTCATATAAACCACAGTGGCTGAAAATTGATATGGCCTTATTGTCCTGAAACAAGTACCTGTACCAGACTGTTTACACCCATATGCCAATAAATAGTTGGCTTGTCTTTAATATGTTTTGTACCATTTTCTAGATCAAGCAAGAGACCAACTAGCTGATGCCATTCCAGATACTGCACTGCAAAATTCCATTGACTTGAAAGACCAGCTGAAAACACCACAAGAGAGTTCAGGCATTGGTAAGTTTTAGTGATTTCTCCATACAAGGCAGGAAACCGTTTATTCATTTTCTCACTTTACTTCGCTTACAGACAATTCACACTTTTTATAGGGTAGGTGTAGAAGAACTACTATTTGCTGCATTTGGAATGTGCTTGAAATGCAAGCCAGCAGTATTGAGTTCACTTTAATTGATTTTTAAGTGTGAACAACCACTAGGAGGTGGTGGTTTGATCTGCTTTCCTTTACATTTTTGTAGACTGCGTGTCTTATCTAGATCCAATCCATTTCAAAATATTTTATGCATGTGTCTCTTATCAACTCCCAATTGAATAATTGGCAATTACTCCTCCACCCATCTCAGTAGAAGTTTAGATTATTTTATTGGTGAGGGCACAGGCAGACAATGTATATCTATTCTCGCGTACTGGACAAAAAAAAGTCCTTTAACCCCTTTGTGACTGACTACGTACAGTGTACGTCGCCAGCATCGGGGCTGTTTAAACAGACTCCCGGTGACTTTTGCCGCCGGGAGTCTGTTTAAACTTGTAGAGCCGACTGTCGGCTTTACAACAGAAGCAATCCTGGCGACTTACCTGTCGCCAGATCGCTTCTGTGTCCCGAAGAAGGGGCCGCCCCCCCCCCCCGCCAGACACCGCCGCCGTGCTTCCCGGGCTCCGTTGCCCCTCCTACGGGCTCGGCGGCCTTGGTGTCTGCGGGGAGCTGGGGAGGAGGTCGACGAACTTCATCGGTCCCCTCCCCGTTCTATGGGACCGGGAGCGATGCAGATTGCTATGGGACCGGGAGCGATGGGCTGTCAGTTCTGGGCTCCTGCTTGCAAAAAATGAAAAAAGGGCCTCAGTCATGAAGGGGTTAAATGAAGGCTCAAATATGAAAGCAACTACAAAATCCAGTTCTTTGCGTCAAACAGGCGTCAAGTTAACTTTTTTTTTTTAAATTTCTGCTTTTTCACCAAGTCTGCTTCAAACTCCCTCAAAGCTTTCTCTTGCTTTTCTTCCCACAATAGTATCCTCTAGCTTAAACTCTCATTCCTATTATACTATCATACTATCTAGCTTTCCTCTGGCAGAAGCAGCACTCTAAACAATCTAATTCCTTTTCCTCTGCTCTCAAGAACCAGACACCCCCCCCCCCCCCCATGTGCCCCCCCCTGAAATGACTGCTTTGTCTCCAAGCTCATCTCTATCCATGACTTTTTTTTTTTTATCTCCAACTCTCTTAACTTACTTGTGGTTACTGAAACATGGCTTCTGGAATTTGGCTGTGCCTCTCCAGCTACTCTTTCCCATGGTGGCCTCCACTTCACTTACTCAACCAGACCCAGTGGACAAAACAGGAGGTGGAGTTGGATTCCTTCTATTACAACAAAGCGCTTTTTAAGTTCTTCCCACACAACATTCTCTTTCACTTTCCTCTTTTTGAAGTTCACTATATTTCAAGTTTCTCTAAGAATTGCTGAGGTTTATCAGTCTCGAGGACCGGCGTCATGCTTCCTTGACAACTTCTTTGCTTGGCTACTCTATTTTCTTTCCTCCAAAATACCCACTAATATTTTTGGTGACGTTCATAGCCATGTTATTGATAACACTCCAGCTACCCCTTAGCTACTCAACCTAACCTATTCCTTCGGCATAACGCAATGGACACACACTCAGTTTGATAGTAATACCCTTGACCTCATTTTCTCACCTACACTCCTTGCAACCTCTCCAACACCCCTTTTACTCTCTCAACCTCATCAGTGTCACGCCCCTGCCTTGACCATGCCACTTCTCCTACAGTAGCTCACTCTTATGGGCAACTTGCCCCATCCACTACAAAAGCTTGGCAAACGGGACACTAGAAGTCTCCAAGACCTAGTCATGCTCTTCAGTGACTGTAGCTTAAATTCTAATCCCTGCAAGACTTTACCCTATGTAAATCTACCCTCCAAAAATACAGTACCTGCCTCAGTGCTGCTAAAGAGACATATTTCATCATACTTATTAGCACCCTCTCATCCAGTCCTTGTCCACTCTTTTTTACCTTTAACTATTGGGCAGCACAGTGGCGTAGTTGTTACCGCTCCTGCCTTGCAGCACTAGGGGTTTGAATCCCAGCCAGATCACTATCTGCATGGAGTTTGCATGGATAAGCCCTCTGTGGACTCCCAGTGGACTCTCCTAACTATCTTTGTTGCTGCATAAACTGTTGGTGCTATATAAATCCTGTATAATATATTTCTCAGAACTGTGGCAGAACAATGTCTTCTGCTCTTGCTCTCTGTTAGCAGCTGGCCACAAGACTGCATCTTCATTTTAATCTGCATAGAAAGACATACTTCTAAAGCAAGTGAAACATTCTGAATGCATGTGCGTTCAAATTTAATTTGCACTACATTCAAAAGAAAACAATACTGCATATGACGCAAATCTCATGGTCCTAACTGTGGACTATTTGTTGTCACACTGTGGCTCGTTATTAGGAAATGCACACTGTACATGTACAGAAAATTATATTGTAAGGAAACTTATAAATCTGGTGTCACAAGGGTTAGGGAGTAGTACAAACTGGTTCCTGCAGACTTAAGGTGGCCATACACTGTACAACCATCGCAAGACCTTAGTCTTGCGATGGTTGTAAAGTGATTAAAAAAACAATACAATATGCTCATCTTGGACAGGCAGATCGTACTCTCGATCATCGCAAGCCCGCCCCCCTGAGGGGCGGGCTTCCGATGACAGCAATGCTGAACGGGCAGTGTGCGCACACCGGCCCGTTCAGCATTTGTCTCCCGAGCACCGTTCAAACCAGCCGAAAATCGTACGATTCTCGGCTGGTTTTCTAACATGCTCCTTAGACAAAAGACGTGCGACCGTACAGTAGAAACGGTCGCACGTCTTCGTTCACACTGTTCGATTCTCGTACGATCACGGGATTTCCTGCGATTCTCGTACGAGAATCGAGCAGTGTATGGGCACCTTTTAGTTGAAGTCACGAAATCCCCACAGAAAGGGATAAGACTTGAAGAGGGTTAGGAGTCATGAGTGCAATCCAAATAATGCAAAAGTTCTTCACAACAAAGAGGCATGTGGGCTTCAGTTGGACTAACGCACTTCAATAAAGGATTTTTATTAGGATAGAAATCAAAAATGTCGGGTACAGAAAACTGAATACTGAAAGAAAAGTCACACTGGGGTGCTAGAGTCAAAAAAATGCCTGATCAACATTTTAAAATGGATATACAAACCAATAGGCGATCTAGCAGAAAAATACATAGCCTCCCATATGGGATGTAAGGGTGCACTATTATGCAGGGGGCTGAGCAGATGAAACTAATGATTTGTGGCCTTTAGATCTGCTGCTTACTGCTGTAGAAGCGACAAAAGGGGAAGCAAAGGGGCGCTACAACCTGGAGGGGAGTCTTATGTTAGGAATATTGACAGTGGGATCGTATGATAGATATATTTATTTCTGATGAACAATTAATAAGAAGAGAAATTGATTAAAAGAGAAAATTACTCACTTGGACGGGAAGATGGTTGAACTGTGAGGGAAGTGATCAGATGTCCTAAGTGATAACGACGTTACAGACTTCTCAAAGGAGGACTATGGGGTTAAGGCTTTTCCCCATAGTTCTCCTTAGAGTAACGGAAGGACACAAACTGGCGTCCTCCCCTCACCCTAGGCTCAGTATACTGCTTGCGGTATACTGAGACACCACAGCTGAAGCGGATCCCGACAATTGTGCCGGGATCCGCCCAGCTGCGCGACTGACAGCTGGCTCTGCCTATCTAGAGGCAGAGCCAGCTGAACCCTCCCCCGTCCATTCCGCCAGTCAGCGCTGGCGGATCGGAGCGGGGAATCCAGCCCCTCCCCTGTCACGGCAGAGAACCGTGACAGGATCGAGAGGTGAGCGAACAACGCTATGTGTTAGCTAACCTCCCGATCTACTGAGCCGACCTGTGACAGTCTCATTGTCACAGGTTGGCTAGAACTATGAGGTGAGTGAAATGCACTCGCCTCATAGTTCTCCTTTAACTCTATGATCTGATGTGGAGGCTGCATCTATAAAGAAGGGTATGCTATCCTGATGAACTCCTAAATCCTGGGTCCTAGGGGTGCTGGTTAATGTCTCTGGATGTAACTGTCGGTCCTTCCAGAGAGAGCTCTTTGCGAGGATGGTGGAGATGAGCTCAGCTGGCCAGGCTGAGCAGTGGCGGCTGTTCGGGTGGAGCACGAAACAGCCGGACCCTCGGAGGGGCTGTGCGGCAGCAAGCTAAAGGAAGGAGTTAATCACTTGGTTCCGATGGTGCAGAAAAGAATGTCACTGGTCCTAAACAGATTGTCGTGGTCTTTTCTTATTGTTCATCAGAAATAAATCTCTGTCTTACACGATAGTCCTAACATATGACTTCCCACCAAGGTTGTAGCGCTCATTTGCTTCCCTTTTTGTCGCTTAATCATGCAGGACTCCTCTCCTGGTCAAGGAGACAGCACACCAAACATTCACACATTTATTTCTCATCACCAGTAGTGCACTTAACAATCTTTTTCCAGTTTTGCTTTTACAGCTGTAGAAGCAAAAGGAGAACAGGGTTGCTGCACCTCATCTGCAGACCTTTTGCCATATGAAAATTGTACACTAAGCACCAGACATATCATGTAGAGAAGGGAGCGAGCGGCGGTATGTGTTCGCTCACTTGCCGATCTATTGAGCCGACGTGTGACAGTTTCATTGTCACAGGAAGGCTGGAATTATGAGGTTGAGTGATTTTCACTCACCTCATAGTTCTCCTTTTAAAGACTGAATGAAAGCGGCATCTACCCTTTTAAAGGAGAGTTCTTAGTTGTGAACAAAATGCTTTCTCATCCAAGAAAAGAATATAGTTGAGCAGTTTGAGTGCCACATATTTCATGTCTTCTTTTCTTTAATGAGTAACGGGGGAATTGCCTTTATGCACAAGTGTTTGACAGATCAGTTCTTGCCATTCACTGCAACCAACCAGATCCTTTTTTGCACTAGAATTGTTGTACGGAGGGGTTAATTGGTTCCTAGGAACAACGAGAACCATTTCTTCACACATGTTCAAACTGTCCTAGGTATTACAGTAATGAGTGTGTGTGTTTGTTTTTCTCAGCAGGTTTCAGCAACAGTGACGAGACTAGAAGATCAGGGGATTCGGCTGCAGACTGCACGCAATGACTCAGAAAATGTCCGTTCTTATTCTGTGAACCCAAGCAAGATGTTTTGCCTTTTTAAATGGACAGAATCCTCTGGATTACTCAGCAGCCTGTCTGCTTGTGGAACAGCCTGAGCTGTAAGACAATATCATACAAAAGTGCCACTGAGAAAAAGTATTCCATGACCATTCAGCATGTAGGTCTGCCTACACAATGGTACACTCTACAATTCCATAGAAAAACATTTCCTATTCACAATGGTTTATTCCAGTATCAGTGCTAAACATTTCTTTGCTGGGACCATATACCTGCCTTATATAACACTTTGGTTTAAAACAGAAAGTATTACCTATGATTTTGTAACTTAATGTATTATTGCCTTAATGTCTTTTAACCCTGTTACACCGCTGCTTGTAGATCTGTTAATATAGTGAAACTTTTATGATAGTTTACAGACTACTTTTTTGCTAACTTTTGATTACAATGTATGCATTTATTTTCTATTTGTACAGGGCTAGCAGGTATATATGACTGAATTGTAGAGAAAATATTAACAGAAGATGTAAGAAATTCTGGGCATGATCTTAATCTTTTTTTCCTTATACAGAATGTAAATTATTGGCCCTGTTGTTTTTAGGCTTATTTTTTTTTTTTTTTTAATCATCATAGCTGGATGACATAAGCCTGCATTACAGGTTAACCGATACGATTGTAATACAGTTTGTAAATTGTAAGCTAAAGGATATTTTTATAATATACTGTTTCATTGTCAAACCCCATTATGTGTTTTTACTTTGTGCCTTTAAATCGAAAACTTGTATTTGCCTTATCTAATACATCACGAAAAGGTGTTTGTTTGTTTTTTTGCAAAAAAAAAGTTACACTAAACTCAGGCGTTATATCTTTAAAATGCATTCAAGTACCCTAACTTTTAATAATGTATCTTATTTGTGTATCACTCAGCTGTAGATCCTCAAATCATCTCTGAATTGGTGCTGACTTTGTCCTTCTGGAGGGTGGCTACTTTTGTTCCCCATGGTTCCTATTGGTTGTAAAGTAGCCACCACTCCAAGCTCACTCCTGGGACAGACTATAACTTCAATACAAATTTGCTAACTAAAAGGGAGATTTTAGGAGTGGGAGTGTGCTTGGAGTGGCGACTACTTTACAACACACGGGACCATGGGGAACAAATGTAGCCACCCTCCAGAAGGAAGGACAGTGTCAGCACCAATTCAGAAATGATTTTGAGGATCTATACAGTGATGATGTCTGATACACAAATAAGATACATTTTTGTTAAGGTACTAGTAATGCTCTGCATATACTACAGGAGAAAAACTCTGCCTGTGCTACCTCTTTTAAAGATGTAACTCCTGAGTTTAGTGTCACTTTAAGTACCCTAATTTGACTTGGAATTGGTCTCTTGCAGTCCCTGTCCAGCAGAGATCAGAGAAGAGATAAACAACACAAAGCACCAATTAGGGGTTACACTGCAAGGAACATGCTTATAGGAGAAGAGCGCAGAGAGAGAAGTTCATCCATTTGCTGCTCCTCCTTTCAGTGTTCTGTCTTGCGGTGAGGAGGAGACCTGTAAATAAAAAAAACTATAGCAGAGAAAGATCAAGTTTCCTCTCTTGCTGTGTGGCAGAGCAGTGTTTTGGGTTACACAGTCCTGGTGGCAGGGTTCAGGTGTGCCGATGGTTACAGAGTTGCACCATCAGAATAGCCTTTTGTTCCTACTATCAAGGTTAAGTTTGTTTTAGAGACCCCCCTACTACTACTACCCTTATGCCTTAATGTTTTTTAATGGACCTACATTTTGAGTTTAGATTGGGCTTACTTGCTTGGTAAAGCAATACATATTTTTCAGACCATGCACATGATTAAAATGTCAACAGGCATTTACTCCAAACATAAAGCATCTACAGGGGCTTGCATGCAAGTTTTGATGACCTGTTTAGCACCCAGTGCTCACTGAAACCATAGGGCACACTACACTGTTAAGGAAACAAATCCACGGTCATGGCTCTGGCTTTCCCCGTCCTGTCTAGTGCGTCTCACTGTTGCACAGCCCTACTAAGCAACAGTAAGGTGCAGAGGTTGTGCATCAACAATCACACAAGGCTGTCACCATTTCTATAACACAATTCTAAGTTTTGGGGATCCTGGTGAGTACAGCCCTGATGACTAACAAAATAAAATCTTTAGAAATTAATTGGTTCCCACAGACCTTATGAAGACATTGCATTATACACATGCAGTTTATATAATATGTTGTAAACACTAGCCTGAAAAACATAGACTATAACAAGCGTCTGGTGGCTGTCTTTTCAACTCTGTGTGTAAAGCACTTTTTAGCGTCAGTCCCTGATGAGTAAATCATCAGATGCTGGGTGAAGCTTTTGTAAATTCTAAACCTTCAAGGACAGTGGGATAGACATTACCTTGATGGCAGTCGTGTTAAAGAATTCTGATGAACCAAACAGGAACTGCATATAGGTACTGGGTGTGTGTATAGTATAATTTTTATATATTTAATTATTTGCGTACAATTTGGCAACAAGTGACTGTTAGTTTTCCTTAATTTTAGCTAATTTAAAGACGTCTGGCCTTTAAAGAGCTTCATTTTTAACAAAATGTTCCTGTCAACTAGAATAATCTAAAAATATAGTAAAAAAAAAAGAAGCCCATGCAACCTGTCGCATCTATTGCCTACCAGCTCTATTGCCTAATCTTGGCAGCAGCTGTACTAATCAGTTCAGAATTGTACCAAGGAGATGAAAGTATGATACAGCGCTAGTAATCCAAAAAATGCTATACAGTTATACACACTGTGAAGAAATCTACAATAGTATCAATTGTCAATCAACATGATGATCCTTGTAACAAATGTGCAATAAATAAAATGACTATCCAACTGTCCCTTCTTTCTTGTACATCACAGGACACAGTGTGGTAATTTTGTAACAAATTGGTTATACAGCTGCCAGCAAATCGAAGCTGTTAAGATAGACCTGTATAAGCCCCTCTCTCCCAGTCTGCCTTAATTTTTTTTTGTTGGTATCTTTAGGTGATAGACTCCTTTCAGCTGAGTGACGTACATCGTTTTTCTGCTCAAGACTCTTCTAACAAGTTTCTGTTCACAGCCACTGTGGCATCTAACAGCAACTAATCTGGATTGGGTTCCTCTTCGGATGAGCCTTAGCGATGCAGGGCTGGTCTGTAATGTGGTTAGGGCACTTTGTGGGCAGTGGAGTCCTATCCTTTAAGACCGTG